GCTGGGCTGGGCTGAGCTGGGCTGGGCTGGGCTGGGCTGGGCTGAGCTGAGCTGGGTTGGACTGGGCTGAGCTGGGCTGGGCTGGGCTGAGCTGGGCTGGGCTGGGCTGGGCTGGGCTGAGCTGCTGCCCCCGGGTTTGGCTGAGCACGGGGTGTCTCCTGCTCCTGGGGATCTCGTTCCCATCATTTCCATGGCTGTTCCATAGAGCAGCAGGCAGCCTGTCCTCGCTGTCCCTCTGGGTGGGTGGCAGCAGTGTCCCTCGCCATGAGCCCTGTGCTGGCTTCGGGGGAGCGGGGTGGGGGTCTGGGGTCCTGCAGGGTGGGGCTGCAGCTCCAGCACACAGCTCCCTCTGCCTGGCTCCATCCCCCTGACCTTGGCCGTGTTCCTGGCTGCCTCCTCTCGCTCCCACACAGCCGGTGGTGCCAGACAGGATTTCCTCTGCCCCGCAGGGAAGGGAGGGATCGTGCAGCTGATAAATGACCCGGGGGCTGCTGCCCCACAGCTCTCGTGCAGGGATGACCAACAAAAGGCTGTCAGGAATATCCCAGAAAGCTGAATTTGTGGGATAATCAGAGTGACCAGCCCAGGAGATACACGTTAATGATGAGAGGAACCATTAATGATGAGAGGAATCATTAATGATGAGGAACCATCACAACCCTCAGCTCTGTGCAGGGCTGGGGGCTGGAGAGCAGGGACTGGCAGGCACAGAGGCTGGTGGTGGTGCAGGAGCAGGGAGTGATGGCTGCAGTCAGAACCCCCCTTCCTCTGCTTGGGACCATCATGACCTTTGTGAAGTCTGTATTTTTTCCCGGTGCCAGAGTGGTGTTTTGGGAAGGGGTTGATGGTAGCAGGTCCCTGGCTGTGTTCTCTGAAGTGCCCTCTGACCCTGCCAGCCCGCCCATCGCACACGCTGCCTGTGGGTGCAGCTCCAGCGCTTGCTCCAGGACATGCCAGCACAAACCAGTGACAAGGGCTGGGCTCCAGTTCTTCACACTGACCTTAGCAAGGGGTTGCCTTCGGAGACAGAGCTGTGAGTGTCTCTCTCCTGATGGAGCCAAGTATTTTTATACCTCACTTCCTCGGAGCTTGTCTCTTTGCATTACTGCCAGGAAAAGATACGGCAGAAAGATCAGAGCAGCCAGGAGAAGGAGGGGGCAGGTCACTCCCAATTTGCAGCTTTACTTTCAGGCTTCTCAACTCAATTATTCAGCAAATTGGGCTCCGAGGAAAAGCAGCACGAGCTTCCATCAGGTAACAGAGCAGGGCACAGATGAGCTCTGCCCTGCAGCTGCCGTTGTCGCTGATGTTGGAGCTCTCTGCAGAAGTTCCCAGCTGTCCTGGGGTTCTCCTGGTGTGTCTGTTTGCAGGGTTTCCTGCCTGTTCTGGGGGTGCCCAGCCCAGGCTCAGCCCCACTGCCATGGTGGTGTCAGTGTTTCTCCTTGCTGCGACTCTGTGTCTGTAGCCAAAAATGGGAGCGTGCAGGAGGACACAGCTAGTCATGCCCCGAGCCAGGTACCAAAATGTGAGGGTGAAGGTATTGGCAGGACTTGGGGTGTTCTCTTCAGCTGTCACTTGCTTTGTCCTGAGGCAGGTGAATCCCTATGGAAATGTTCCCTGGAGCCTGTGTGAGATTCACTGCATCTCGCATGAAAACACAGCAGCAAAGCCCACCTGAACTCAGTTTGCTTCTTTGTAGCATCTTTTGTTTGCAAGTCCAGGGATAGTCTGAGGACTTCCAGAGGGGAATCACGGGCAAACAAGGAGGTTGGTTGGAGCTCTGGGACATCACCCAGACCTGGTCTGGTTTTGGGGAAAGCACCCAAGTGAACCACCATGAAATACGCAAAGCTGAGAACACAGGATGTGAAGAAGCCCCTTGCCATGGTGCTAATAACACAAATCCTGACCCATGTGTCTCCTCCCCACAGGTCAGCCATTCAAGCTGGACCCCAAGATGGCTCACAAGAAGCTGAAGATCTCCAATGACGGGCTGCAGATGGAGAAGGACGAGAGCTCCTTGAAGAAGAGCCACACGCCGGAGAGGTTCAGCGGCACGGGCTGCTACGGCGCCGCCGGCAACGTCTTCATCGACAGCGGCTGCCACTACTGGGAGGTGGTGGTGGGATCCTCCACCTGGTAAGGGGGAGGGTCCTGTGTGAGGGGGGATGCTTTGCCAGAGATGCCCACCCTGTGCCCTTCTACAGCAGGTGGGCTCTGAGAGCGCAGGGTGCCCGTCGGGGCTGGGCCTGGTGCTGAGCGCAGCTTCTCCTCTCCTGCAGGTACGCCATCGGCGTGGCTTACAAGTCAGCCCCCAAAAACGAGTGGATCGGGAAGAACTCCTCTTCTTGGGTCTTCTCCCGCTGCAACAACAACTTTGTGGTGCGGCACAACAACAAGGAGATGCTGGTGGAGGTGCACCCGCAGATGAAGCGCCTCGGTGTGCTCCTGGACTACGACAACAACGCGCTCTCCTTCTACGACCCGGCCAACTCCCTCCACCTGCACACCTTCGAAGTCTCCTTCATCCTGCCCGTGTGTCCCACCTTCACCATCTGGAACAAATCCCTGATGATCCTGTCGGGGCTGCCCGCCCCGGATTTCATCGATTACCCCGAGCAGCAGGAGTGCAACTGCCGGCCGCAGGAGTCCCCGTACGTGTCAGGAATGAAAGCGTGTCACTAGGCTGCCAGGCCCGCCGTGCCCCGTGCAGCGCCGGCCGTGCCGGTGTTTGCCGGAGCTGGCAGCCGTGCCGGAACGCCGCTGGCGAGCAGTCGAGCTCCACACCCAGCTCCACCTTATTTTCATGGAAAAGTGGAAGAACCTGGAACCACGGCTGGAAAGGAACTGCCGTTGGTGAGCTCCGGAGTGCGCAAGAGCGGCTGGAGCAGCTCCCTGGTGCCGGCTCCCATCTCTCCCCAAGAAGATTGTCACCTGGATGGTTCTGTCTTCCCTTGGGGGCTGGAAGGGCCAGGGCAGCTTTCAGGGTGACCTGAGGTGCCACGGTGGTCAGGGAATGGCTCGTGCGTCCCACGAGGTGCAGGCTGGGCAGGAGGGATGGGCTCTGCAGCCCGCTGACAGCTGGTGTGAGGACCCAGAGCATGAGCAGCACTTTCCAGGCAGGACTTTCCGTGTGGCTGAGGCTCGGTGGCTTCCCTGGTGGGGTGGATAAGGCTCGGAGCCCTCGGGCTCGGTGAGCCCTGGCAGCGGTTGTGTGGTGGTCCCGTGGAGGGAGGGTGCTGGTGGTCTGTGAGTGAAGGTGGCACTGAGGGTGCTCCCCGTGGCCGTCCGTGCTGCAGGTGGCATGCTCCTGATGCATTTCTGGGGTCCTGCAGTGGAGAGCCACGGACCCCCAGCCCACCATCTCCTCCTTTGAGAGCTCCCAGTAACTGGGGAGGCCTGCATCCTTGAGGAGCTTTGGCCCCTGGCACAGAGGTTTGGCAGCTGCTCCTTCCTGATGGGGTCTGGCCGGCAGTGCCCTGCTCCACACAGGCCTCCATTAGTGTTCTGTCTGGTGTCCCAGCAGCAAAAACTCATCTTCCTACTCTGAACCCGCACTAGAGTCCTGCTCAAAGACCACCTCTATGCTCTATGACCCAAAAATCTCAATTTATGACCCCAAATGTTGACTTCTGGTTTGTTCTCCATCATGCCAGGGGGTTGAGCTGGATGCATTTTAAAGATCCCCTCCAGCTCACACTATTCCATGTTTCTGTGGTGGTGTGAGTGTGGAACCATCCTGTTTGCTCTGTGGCCGAGGACTGAGTCTGTCCCTGAGGCTCAGGGTTGAATTCATCTGGAGCCAGTTCAGAATTCCTCTGGAGGAATTCCCAGTGCCCCAGCCAAGGGGGTGTATGTGGGTGACTGCTGGTGACAGCTTTGCCCAGGAAGAGAGTACAAACGAGCCCGTTCCTCAGCACACCATCTCTCGTGTGTGGGGCTGAGGTTTTTGGAAAAGGGAGGTGGGCAGCAGCTCAGGAAAAGGATCTGCTGCCAGCCCTGCCAAGCTGAGAGGGGTTTCCCCTGATACAGGCTGCTGCCCCGTGGTGCCTGGCAGGGAAGCCCAGGGGATGCAGCTCTCCTTCAGAGTCCTGCTGAGCACAGGAGCAGCTGCGCTTGCCTCTCCCAGCCCCGGCTGCCGGAGCTCGGGGAGGCTGCAGCGGAGCGTGTCTGCTGTCCCCGCAGCCTGGCACGGCCCCCCTTCACTCTGGGAGGTTAAAGCACCCTTTGGAGATGGATGTTTTTGACAGGAAGGTCCCGTGGGGCTGCTCATGCTGTGCCATGGGGGACGCCAGGCGCTGAGGTGGATGTTGGCCCTGGGAGCGCTCGGCATCCTCGGCTCAGAGACCACGAGCCCTTAACGTGACATTTGCACCTGATGAAATTGCACTAATTGTGGGACCCCCTGGCCCCCACACGTGTCTGGAAGCTGGCCAGGCGGGGCTGGGGGAGCCCCACACCCCGAGCAGGGGCTGGGGGCCTTTCCCAGGCACCCACACTGTGGTACAGAAAGCAGAGCCCCCCCCAGTTGTCACCGTGATTGGGGAGCAGCAGCCCCATCCCTGGGCCCTGCTCAGGACATGGAGGGGGGGCTCAGGTGCTGGTTCCTCTGCTCCTGGTGACACCAGTGTCCAGGTTCGGGATGTGTGCACTCCTGGCTCCCCTCAGCCTCCCCTTCCACGTGTAACATTCCTGCTTCCGTTTTGTCTGGGGGGAGGGCTGTTCTTCCTGGTGGCTTTTTCCCTTGGTTTAGTTTTTTTTTTTTTTTTTGCAACTTCTTTGTTAATGTGTGTACATATATATATATATAAATATATATATAAAAATTATAATATAATATATATACGTTACTGGGTATGTCTGTGTGTGAGGGAGGCCATAAGGTGAGGATAGGCCTGGGATCTTCTTGCTGGCTGTCACAGTGTTCCCCAAACCTGGCAAAACAAAAACAAACCTGGCTGTGCATCCACAGGAGCAGAGGGGACTTGTGGTACCACCCTGCAGCAGCTTTCCTTGTGCTGGGCTCGGCCCAGCCTGGAGAGCCCGTGGGGTGGCACAGCTAAAGCTCCATCCAAAAACATCTGTACACATCTGCACCCTGCTGCCAGCCCCGGGAAGATGTCTCGTTATCCAGGACACTGAGTGTGCCAGCCTGCCCTTGCCACAGTCCTGGATGGCCACAGGGACTCCGGACATCTCCGAGTGTCACCCACGCCCTGCTGGTGCTCCCCAGTGCCGTGGGGAGGGTGGGGATGGAGCTGGTGACAGCCCCCCCAGCACAGAGCCCCTCTTGAGCACAGGGACCAGCAGGGAGGAGCTGGGGGTTCTCCTCTCCCCCAGCCCCTGCCCTGGCTCACATCCTCGGGGTCCCCCCCGAGCCCCCCAGAGGGGAATGGCCCTGGGGAGGGGGTGCCCCGTGCTGGAACGGGGCCAGCAGGCAGAAGCTGCTGGAGAAGGGGCAGCACAGGCACACAAACCTGCAGAAGGCAGAGCCCATTTCTGGAGCACAAGTGCCTAAAATATTTATTCAGTGAAGACATACGGTGCAAAGCAGCATGGTGGAATTAAATATTTCTTACTTCATGCCTTTGCTCCAGGCTTTTTCCTGTTAAACATTAACCACCAGCACACGGAACCTGCCTGGAGGAGGAGGTGCTGCTTCCACTAGGAACAAACCTGTGGTGTTTGCGTTGGTCAGAGCTCTGCCCTTGCTGTGGGGTGGCAGTGACACACAGCACTGAGGGGCTGGGGCCAGGAACACCCCACTGCCCAGAGCCCCACGGCGAGGAGCAGGGAGCTGCAGTGCCCAGGGCTCTCAGCCTCCATTTCCAGACATGCTGTTCCCTGCCCCAGCCCGGTTTGCTGCGTGTCCTGGGACAATCGTGTGGTGTCTGGCAGGGATCTGCAGGATCCCTGTCTGTCAAACGGATCCTGACACCAGTCCCAAAAGCCAGAGGTGCCCCGACCCTGGTGAGCAGCCAGGAGAGGAGCAGGGACACAACGGGAGCAAAACTGGGGCTGTTCCAGGTCTGTGCAGGGGAACACAGATCCTCTGCTGTCACCACGGGACTGCAGTCCCTGGAGAGGACCCGCTCCCCCCTCCGTGGCATTCACACAGCACGGGGACCTTTTCTTTGAAACTGAAAAACGAAACCTTCCAAAGGAGAAGCATTGCCCGAATGGCCACAAATGGGCACCTGAAGAGCAGAGCCTGGGAGTGGAGAGGTTTGCTGGGTTCTGCAGTCAGCCCACCCCGAAACCGCCGGGAGAACACCCCGAAACCGCCGGGAGAACACCCCGAAACCGCCGGGGGAACACCCCGAAACCGTGCAGCCCCCAGTCCGGAGGAGCCTGTGGCCCCCGGGGTGAATCTGGGGGCTCAGCCGGCTCTGGCAAGAGCACGGAGCTGCTCTCGGTCTCTCCGGTGTCTCCAGAGCTGCTCTCGGTGCCCCCGGAGCTCCCAGGACCGCAATTCCCCGCAGGGATGCGGCTGTCGCTGCTCCCCTCGCTGCCGGCAGGATTCCTGCCCGTGCCTCGGGCTGGACTCGCCGGGATGGACGCTAGCCCAGTTACTAGCCCGGTGCCGGGGGGCTGGGAAGGGCACGCCTTGGCAGAGCAGGGTCCCGAGGTGCCGGGAATCGCAGCCCATCCCTCCTCCCTGCACCCCGGCGGAACAGAGGGAGCTCCGGGGTCTGCCCCGCTGTCCGTGAAGCGGCGTTAGTGGGGAATGAGTCCTGGGAGGGGAACACGCGTTTTCCTCCGGGGCTTTCCACGGGTGCGCTCCGTGATCCCGGCCTAAACCCATCTCCGGGACACACCGCAGCCCCAGGCAAAGCCCAAAGGGATGGGGAGCGCTGGGACAGCGGAGCCGGAGCTCTCCCTGTGGGGCTGCCTTGGCTCGGAGCCCGCCCGGTGCCAGCCGAGGAACGGCGGTGCTGGGCAAGGGGGGAGCAGAAGAAATGTGGCAGTGTCACCTCAGTGTCCTCTGGCTGTGGCCAAAGGTCCCTGAGAGCCGTGGCCAGGCGGGACTGCTCCCTCCAGCCCAGCACGGCCGGCTGCTGCAGCCCCCGCGGGTGCCGGGGCTGGCCCAGGGCTCTGTGTCCCAGCTCCTGGAACCAGGGGAAGCTGCATAAAGGATCTCATCCCTGGCCACCTCTTCCCCACAACAGGCAGTGCCAGCACGAGCCCAGGAAGGAGCTCTTCCCTTTCTCTTCCTGCCTCTGGTGCCTTCCCCTGCCAGCCTCGGGTTTCTAGGAAACGGCATCCCTCATTGTGAAAGCCAATTTAAAACCATCACTCACGTGGCAGGTTGTTTCATGGAAAGGGAAGGGCTGCTCTGAGCTGATGGAATGAGTTTTGCTGCTGCTTTCCAGGAATGTGCTTCAAACACAAGAGGTTTCAGCATCACAAATACCGAAAATCAAACCAGAAATGGATTCTTCAAGTCAACTAGGAGGGAAAAATACAGCATGTGACATGGGCTTGGGAAGGCTAATGACAGGTTTTAGGGACTGAGGGGAAGGTTGGCTTTTTAATTTCTTCTGTAGTTCATGAAATCAGAAATTTTAAAAATCCTTCCCTTGAGAAAGCCTAAAAACCCCCTGCCTGGGAGCCCTGGGGCTGCCCCCTGCTCTGGGAGGCTGCAAAGTGAAGAGTTAAGAGAAAGAACTGGGTTTATATACTGAGTGACATCTGATGTCTCATCTGTCCTGTCTGCAGCAACAGTGGATTGCACTGGGGTGGGATAATCCTCACTGGGAATCCATGCTGCAGCTCTCTCATCCAGGAGTGAAAATCCCTTGAACTGCTGTTTTCACTCCAGGCTGGAAAAAAAAACCCCAATATTTAAATAAATGGACAGAAAACAAAATGACTCCCTGAGCTGCTCATAGGCTGCACAGGGCAAATGAATTAGAGTCTGAGCTGGCCCAAATTAATCCTTAATGGAACTTGAGGTTTTAAATACTCACCTGAATAACCCTAAAACTGAGTGTTCTTGATCATCCTGATTAGACTGAGCATTGCTTACTATTCTTGGTCTGGCTATGGAGAGATGGACAATGCCTGGAATGAGACCAGAAGCCTTTACTGAAGAGTTCTGGAGTTCAAGACACATGAAGGGGAGGGAGGAGGTGAGGATGTTGGTGCCTGTGTCTCAGACTGAAAATGGCTGCAGGGGGAGCCTCAGGAATTCTCCTGAGCTCCAGGAGCCTGTCCTGAGCTCCAGGAGCCTGTCCTGACCCACCCGGAGCAGGCAGCTGGAGACCCCAGCCCTTCATCAGCAAATCCCACCTGGCCCCTCTCCTGAGAGCCCATCCAGGCTCACCACTGCATCCTCCAAGCTCCAGAGCCAGGCAGGAGCAGCACAGGCACTGTTAATGGAATTGGGTCCAGTTCTCCATGGCAACGAGCAAGAACTGGGTCAGTGCAGGATGCGAGGAGCCAAGCACTCCCAGGAGCCGTAAAAGTAAACAGCAGCCAGAAGAGGCACAAGGAGCCCTGGGACCCCCATCCCCACATGGCACAGGGAGCAGTGGGGTCCCAGCCCTGCCCAGGGAGGCTCCCTGGGTCCTTCTGCACGAGACAGCGGAGCCAGGGCTGCACAGAGCAGGGGCTGCCTGGTCCCTGAGGCACACACAGCCCTCCTCAGCTACAGCGAGAAACTGAGCCTCAACAATTCCCTCAGCCTCCCTGCGCCCTGTTCCCCACCACCCTGAGCCGAGTGCCTTCTCCACCCATGGCCCTTGCTCTCCTGCCTCCCTGGCTCTAACCTGTCCCTGTTTGTTTGCACAGGCGAGCAGGCTGACATCCATCCCTGGCGCTCTCTGTGCACAGGGGCTGTGGAAATGCTCATTACAGCTCCTCTCTGCCAGGAGCTGTGCTGGGCGCGCTGCCCTTGATCAGCCAGGTGAGGAAGGAGCCTGGCTCTGTGCTCAGCTGCTGTTGTGTCCCTGCCAGCCCACAGCTGTGCCACCACAGCCCCGGTGACCTGAGTGGCCTGGCCTGAGGCTGGAGGGGGCTGCGGGGCAGAGAGGGCAGAACTGGGTGGAACGGGAGGATGGAACTGGATAATTTTAAGGTCCCTTCCAACCCAAACCGTTCCATGATTTGAGGAAGCTAAACACCAGAACATTGAGAAAGTGACCTGCAGAGTTCCCTCAAGGCCCATCAGAGGCACGAACTCAGCTGCCCTGGTTACTGACGGTCATCACCACCTTCAGCAGGTTTGATGATTTAATTGATACCTGGGCTCTGAACTACATGTCCATCGTTTGGCAGACCTTTGCCCTTCATTTGTCATTAAAATCCCTCTGTTCTGTTCTGTTCTGTGTGTCACCCTGATGTGAATAACTTCTCTCGAGTGCTGTCTTCGTTTGCAAAATGGGATTTTTAGTCCTGCTCCACCTGAAAATGAATTAAACACTCTCTTAACATTCACACAGCACCTGGAGGATGGAGAGAAGTGCTGCTGATGACAAAATTACAGTGTTACTTTATTTCACTCACTGCACAAATACACAGCAGCATCCTCTGGGCCCGCTGAGCACCTTCACACTCGTGCCACAGTGGAGCCTGTGTCCCCTGCACAGCCACACCCTGCCCCAGCTGCAGCCTGGAGATGGCAAAGCCCCCAGGCCTGGGAAGGTGGGCCAGGGGAAGTGGCCAGGAGGGGATGCTCCCTCACCTGCCCGGGGCAGCAGTGCTGGAGCAGTCTGGGGCCGGGGGAATGTAAACCAATGCTGCCATGCATGGTTCCATGGGAGCTGGGATCTCCCTCCGTGCCTC